CCCCATGGCGATGTCAGGGCGACCGTCGCATTCGGTTCTCGAGGCCATCTCACTTGCTCGAGGACCGCCCGGCGCCTCGTTCGTGTCGACGTAGGTACCAGACGAACCGCAGGTCTGCTCGCCTGTGCAAAAGGGGTCAATTCAAAGTGAGTGGCATGGAGGTAACAATGATGATGTTGTGGCCCTCTTGTCCACCCAAGCATGGCGTTGGACATGAAAAATGCAACCCAATCTCAACGCAAAATCAACTTTGGTACATTAAAACTCAGCTTGGTCAGGTTTTGAATCTTTTCATGCGTATGCTGGGAAGCCTCGATTAAGTAACTTCGAGGTAATGGATACAAAATTAGGGAGGAAAATCACTTAAAATAATGTAATTATTTGTCCCAACCGGTTAATCTATTTAAGCGAGGTCACGTCCAGCTCGCAACGCTTTCTCAGTTTGCAGAAAACGCGTTATCTTGGCGCGTCTACGAACGCTGGTGAATAACTCACTGCCTCAAATCACACAAGACCTATCCCATCAAACAAACCATCATCCAGAAACCAATCAGTGAGGGCCCCTAGACAAATAAATAAAATTGTTGGGGAACTTTCATTTCGCATGAAAGTGCATGAAGAAGAGATTCGCAGGTCAATCTCATCAGAAGAAGAGGACGCATGAATCGCGTTTTACTGCAGCCGTTTGGCTTTTAGACGACGTTCAGGTGGGCGCAGTCTACGAGACCTTCTCCCTCGTTTCGCGTGAAAACGGGTTGAGCTTTCGTCCAGAAGATGGCTAGTAAGTTTTAATGTAGTGTCTATGCACACAAGCATTCCTGTTCAAAGAGCTATTCTATCCACGAGTACCACATATTTAACCTTCGATGGTAAGTTATACGAACAAACACAAGCACTGGCGATGGGATCTTGTCTGGTTCCCATCTTGGCGAACAATTATGTGGAATTATTATGTTATTATTATTATTATTATTATTATTGAATTTTATTATTATTATAGAAGTTGATTATTATTACTATCATTATTATTAGTGTTATTAT